AAAGTGTTTTATATAACACTCCTGAGTTAAAATGTTGCTGATCAATTTGAAATTATCATTATTATTTACTGATTATATTTAATTTTATTTTTCAGTATCAAATGGTCAAAAATTTTTACAGTTTAAAAAATGATTTTTTTTTTCCAGGCAAATTGATGCACTTTACGTTGTTTCTGTTGCAGACTAAAAAAAAAACAATGTTGATAAAGTTATTATTTGTTGTAAGTTGATCTATATTCTTTTTTTCCTTTAATGTTAATAAGGACACGTTATGCAGAGGTGTCCTTATAATAATTTTATAAACGAGTTACGGGGGGGGGCGAAATGTTCACTTCTTCCTGTGGGGTGGGCATAACAGAAAATGATTGAGAAGCACTGGACTAAAGCAACAACTCAGGTTTTGTCAACTGAAATTCTGCGGAAAAGTTTGAAGGAACTCCGTTTGGGGAAATAGTAAAATTCTGACGAGCTAACAGCTAGTCTGGGAGGGGACCAGAGCAAACTGCTGCTGTCACAAAACAACCAGTACAAAAGATTTATAGCAGTTTGTGTGAATGCTAGTTCATAAACATTAACTCTATCATCAGTTTTGCACAAGATAACGGTTTACAATTATGGGGTTTTGTAAGTTAAAATAGCAGCTAGCTGTAGCACTTCCCACAAAGCCTGGGTCATTTCTTTCAAAATATAACATTTCAGCCACAATAACAGTGTAATGTGTAGCTGATGCAAACAAACATATATAAACAACATGCAAAGGTCGCTATAATATTTTTAAGAGTAGAGCAGAGCTGTTGGCTCATTATTCTGGTCATTTTTAAAACCCTTTCTCCAAGCAAACGGTTGTTGTTGTCACGTCTCTAATAAATACATTACATAGATGATAACAGACTGAGCATGCCCACATGTCGTTGTGTCTCTGAGCAAGACACCCAATCCCCAATTGCTCCCCAGGCACCTACATAGCTACCCACTGCTCCACCTCGGTGCATCCCATGTGCAATGGGTTAAATGCAAAGAACCAATTTCACCATTGTATGGGAACATACAACGATAACACATAGCACGTATCTGCAGGCGTTCCAGTAGAAAGATTTTACAAAATGCTTGGATTAATGTACATACATTCACCAGCTCCATACCAGCTGGTACCTGATCTGTATGTGTGGCGACAACAACAGCTTTTTTACGCTCCTCAGTATTCCAGACATGACACTGGCAAAGGAGAACATTAATGAAAAGGAGATGGGATAAATAAAGGATTGGATAAAAATGATAAGAGGTGATAATAGCTGTATGGAAATATGTGACACTATAATAAACAAGATAATTACACAGCGTATTCTGGATTCAACCAAAGTTATTGTACTTTTTCTTCGCAGCCAGCTGAATCTTAAAAGGCGAGCTTGATGGGATTAGATTTCTCTAAATGGCATGCCTCTTGTCAGATTAGAGGCATCACTTTCTACAACAAACATCTCAATTGAGAGAAGAGGTTACACACAGAGCTGACGAGGGTATGAGGGACAATATATGTCAGATTCTGTGTGGCGCAGAGAAAACACGACTTCAGGAAACAGTCAAGTAAGTGTTAGAAGCTATGTGACCTCTGGTGACATGTTTTGTGGTTGGATTAAGTGTCATTGTTAAAATCCTGGTGAGCTTTAGTTTATTTTTGCGTTAATATAGCCTGGATGTGTTACTGAAATCCATCTCCGTTCAGTTCTGTCAAACTTCAGGTTAAGTCAAGTGTTATGTACTCAACATTTCTCTTAAGAAGACACAGTTTCCTTCTATAAAAACCGTGGTAAGTAAGGCAAAGTCTGAGGGTGTTTTCACACCCGACAGTCCAATACTCGGTTCGAGTGGGGACCAAAATTGGAACAGTTGTTACTTTTACAGCTGGTGCGGTTCGCATTCACACTGCACCGAGTAAATCAAGACAAACCCTTGGAGCAACCTGTTCCCCTCCCTCGCCTGTGGTGGTGCTGCACCAAGAACCACTATAGGAAATGACACGAAAACCCCTGAAGAAGACAGAATGCAAATGACTTCTTCTGGAAATATAAACAAAAATGAAGTGGCGTCAATTTTTAGCAGTTTTAGAATTTATGTTTCGTCTGTGGCACATGTACCAAACATTTTCAACAATGGACTCAGCATTGTGGTGGTAGAATTTGCTAGTGGTAGAAATGCACATTCGTTTTGGTTGTATTTACCCAGAATGCCCTGTGCTGTAGTTCTCTTTCTGCTTTTGGAGTGGTCTCCGGCCCGTTTGCATCCACATATGCATTTGAGCCACGCTAGAGCTCGATTCAGCCAAACTGAGACGTAGGCTTTTAGGCGGACTAGAGTTCGCTTTTTTGGTCCACATCAGAGTTAGATTGCGCATTCACAACTCCCCAAACAAACCGGAATTTCTAGGCAAATGGACTAGAGTTCGATTAAAGTGGATTAAACAGGGCTGGTGTGAATGTACCCTGAGAAAAGAAGTTGAACACAATGTTTGGCGACATGATGTGCCCGTGGTGTCAATGGGGAACACAGAACCCCAACTTACCCTCGCTCCACCAGGAATGTATCTCTCCAGACTTTAGGTTTGCGGTTGGACTTGAATCTGAAAAAAACAAAATGGACAAAGTTTATGGGACTCATTTGGTCCTTCTGCTACAACACTTCAGGTACAGAGCTGAACTGTGGAAGAGTTTACCAGTTCAGGTGTAAATGCTCGAGTACCAGTTTTGCATCTCTGGCAGCATTTAAGCGCAGTTGTATAAATTATATACACTTTGTAAAATACAAGTTTGAACCCACATTGTACAATGTTAGTACAGTGAGGTTTCGTGAAGAAACACATGATTCAGCTTGCAAACAAATTTAGCAGAAATCCTAATAAATGGAGACCTCAGCGACTTACAGCCAAAGCTCCACAGCCAAGGAAAAATCCACTAAATAGCCCAGAACCCACACTGAGCTCAGCCGAAGAAAAAAAAATAAAAAAATCATTTAGGTCGTGGAACTTTGCCTTTTGCCCGTTAAATGACCAATGAAGAGAACCGTTGGCATTTATCATGCACACTGTGCATTTATTGTTCATAATACCCATTACAGCAAGACATGATGGATCCATACAAACCTGTTGCCAGTCCGGTCCTGTTCCAGCAGCTTAAGGATGGACTTTCCATCCATGTCTGGGGGGGTGTCCAGGCCAGCAATGTGGAGAATGGTGGGAGCTAGATCAATGTTCAGCACCATATGAGGGTTTCTGAAGAAGAAAAAAAAAGTGCATAATGGTAAGCTTTTGTAGAAAGTGGCATGATGTTTAAGAACCAACCACTGAAACCACTGAAACCAAACAACTGGAAAACAACAGCATGGAGAAAAAAAAATCAGGGATTCTTGAGCTTTTAAAAGCAAATAATGTTACTCACACTGCTCCTGGTTCCACATTTGGTCCTTTCAGGAAGAATGGCACTCTGATATCAAAGTCATAAGGCATTGATTTTCCCTTGACTAACCCAAACTGACCGATGTGGTAGCCATGATCAGCTGTGTAGATGATGTATGTGTTTTCCAGCTCTCCAGTTTCCTCCAACATGTCATGAATCTTTTACCAAAAAACAAACAAACAAAAAAAAAAAACAGAAGTTGCGATGAGGATTTTACATACCTTTAGAGGAAGTGCAATTATAGCTGTACTCACTTTCTGGACAGAGTCATCGACTGACATCAGGGTCTGCAACCTTTTCCGGTGCAGAAAGTTGGTGAACTCCATGTGGATTGGTTTCATAGGGCCTGTGTACTGCATGATCCAGTGCTTGTCCATATTAGGGGCATAGTTGTAGCTGGGGGTTCTACGGACAACAAAAGTCAAAACACACAAAAAAAAAATGTATACATTTTCAGTAAGTGCATACAAATTTCACATGGAAGTATGAAAATCTTCCTCGATATCTGGATAAATGTGAGCTTTCGGAGCACATGGAGTTCATTTTACATGCCAAAAGACACCTGTCTGCTACTTTTACAAATTGCTGCTCAACAACAGGTGAACAGTTGTCCACTGTGTTTGACATGCATCGATAGTCACTCCGTTTGTTGAAGGAAACATTTCGACCCTTCGCAGACAGCAACTTTGCCGTTTTTCCACAACCTTCTCCGACCATCTCTTCTCTCACACAGAGACGAGAGTCTCCTTGCTGGACTGAGCTCTTGGCACAGATGAGCAATTTGAGGGTTGGCACACGCTTATGAAAATAATAGGCCTCACAGTCAGGCTTGCAACAACCCCTGGACCAAAAACTCAATAAGTCACAGTCATTTAAAAAAGGGGGAATAACAAGTGAGGGTAAACAGCAAGAGGGAGGGAGAATCAGATGTCTGTGGGCTTCTACACTAGAAAAAATATTCACCTGTGGGATTAGCTGAAAAAAATAAAGCGGGATGGAACTGTATAACTTTTAGTCAGCAAAATTTAGATTTAAAGCAAAAAAAGTGCATACAGATAGATATAAACGCACCAGACTGCTGTCAGCACTCTGTGAGCAATTGTTGCAATTTTGACGTTGACTCCAATTTTAGCCCTGGATATCACCAGCTAGATTTAAACCACATTATGTAAGCAGTTAAATCTTACAACTTTATATTTAGAACAGAAAAACAACTGAAAATATATAAGACCCACAACCAAAGCCTGTGAATCCTAAAGGAGAGCTTCATTTAAGATTTTAATACGGGTACTTAACTTATAGCTTGAGTATCTTTTTTCCACTCACTCAGTTACCAATGTTGTCGTTTTTTTTTTTTTTTTAATAACTTGTTCAGCTAAGAGCTGAAAAAGGAGACAACTGGGGTTAGTATTAAATAAGATACAAGCACAACAAGAGTTTAAAACCTAAAATACACTTAAACTAGTCAACAGTTTTAGAAGTCTACAAAACGTTCATAAGACCAAACTTATCCCAGTTTCATATTAGACATTTATGGACTATTTAAATATTTAAATGGCTCTTTAACCCCAAAATGCACAATAAACAGAGTAGCGTTGGGTCATTCTTTATATCATTATATCACTCCGAAAACTATGTTCTTTCTGTGAAGAAGCAGCCTCAAGTATCCAACCTTAAGATACTTATTGAAGACGTGCAACAAGAGCCTCTTTGCTCTCAGTGACTGAGCTGCCTTCTGTCCTCGTCTCCTCAGGCCTGCTTTGTGAGAAAAGTGAACTCTTCACCCACCTCACAAGCGGTATAATAAGGCCCACAAAGAGACCTGTCTCTGGGCAATGGGCCACCCAGCTATGGGGCCCTGAGCACCAGGGAACCAGGAATGCAGAGGTCAGTGTCAGTCCGTAGGAGAGGTCACACCTGCCAACCGGCATGTATATGTCTGCATCCATACACCGCAGAATGCCTCCTTGTAACTGTACGAAACCTGACGCAGACCTAGTCCCTGCAAAAATTATAAAGCCATCCCTGAAAAGCAATTTGTCGAGCGACAAGCAGAATTATTATCACACCCTGTTATCGAGACATGCAATTGAGCACCCACATTACACACAAAGCATTTAAATACGTCTCAACTTGGCTTACATCTAAGAACCTGGGCAAAAACACCTTCAGTCAGGAATGTTAATAACATTAACATCAAACCCTCCCTCACTATTGCAGCTGTCAAAAGTACAGACGCTTGTTTGATTTATGAGGTAGTTCTTCCTTCACTGCCACGCTGTCTCTTCTCACCACTGAGGCTTTGACACGTTAGGTGGATCTAGCTTTTGCTGCCTTGATTGAGTGTCTGAACTGAACACATTCATACTATTAAGACTCCATATCTCCTTCAAGCAACCTCAAACTGGAATGGCACCAAAGGGAGCAGAGTTCTTCACATCTGCCAATAAAAACGAATAAAAGATTACCTCATCCATAATAAAAGCAGATAGTCAACAAACACCAAAACAAACCCGTGCACATGCTAACTACCTGCGCTCTCCATGGTAACCACAACACATTTTCCACACACCTACACAGTCACTGGGGCAATCCTTGTATACCCTGTGGGCCCCAGCTCCACCCCTTCACACCGAGGCACCAGCTAAAAATAAATTAATAATGTCACAAAGGGTGTTCCTGAGCACACAATGCATTCCTCGCATCCTAGGAGCCACGGGGAGAAACTACTGATTGATATGGACGGGGTCAGGAAGTTCCCCGGGAATTAAACAGGACGGCGAGAAGGGGTGGGCGGAGCCACCGGGACGAGAAAACTAGATAACACGAATAAATACAGAGGAAGAGATAAACAAAGACAGTAAGAGATGTACAGATACAAAAAGGTAAACAGAGAGGGGATGTTAAAGTGAGAGGAAGACACTAAAAGCACTAGATGTCTAAAAAAATAGTGCACTATGGGCGTTGGATGCCAGAACCAGGAGTTGTATCACTGCCCTGACTGGAGAGATGAGAGCTGGCGTGCGCACAGAGCTATGTTACAAAAGCTATCCCTGATCTACTCTACAGTATGTTCCCCCTGCTCTTTGACGATGATAAATCATTTTAATTTCCCGCACGGCGTGTAATCAGCCCATGGAGCTTCTAAACAACCTGTCAACCCCAGGGTTTGAGGGGCGTGCTGACTGTCATTATGTTAAGCACACTTAATCATAAAAACTCAACTGCGTGTCAGTGGGAAAAACTGAAATCACGAAACCAAAACCTTATAATACACGGTTCAAAGTTCTATATAAGGCTTCTGATTAGTTTCTATGGTTAAGCTTTCAATTGTGTCTAAGAGTTTGCATCTTTCTTGTGCCACGAACATCGCTCTGATTATACCCTCCATAAAAGAGAGCTTCTAAAAATCTGAATAGAGGATAACATCACAGATTGCAGGGTCATGTTCTTGGAGAAGGTAAGAGTCTAAAATAACATCTATGTGAATGTCAGGATGTAGATTTAAACAGCAAAACATTCTGTTGAAGAAAGATAAGCAGTTTAAATGCCAATAGCTATAATGTTCTCGGTGTATTTGGTAATTTAAGTCTAGGTTTTACTTACATGTGCTGCGAAGCATTTGAGAAGAGCTCTGCGTATTGTGGGGCTGAGTCTTCTGGCCCATGAGGAGCGGCGTGACTGATGACCATCATCACAGGACGATGGGGAAATATCTTCTTGGACATGCGGAAAAAGCTGATGCTATCATTGGTGATCAGATCCGTGAAATAGTCCTTTGAAAACAAAAGCAAAACAAGTCTCGTTTTTAAGTGCCACAAGAGTAAAACCCACATCTAGAGGTCTAAAAAGAAAAAAAAAATGGTATGGGGTAAAAAAGCTAAAACAGCACAAGCTTTGATAAAAACTCATTTAGTGGTCCGATCACGGTGACATGTTTCTTTACCTTGTCCAGTCATTTTCAAATAAATAAAGCGGGGCCGGTGGGGATATGAAGTGGGGCCATTGAGTGCACTACAGCACCAATCTGTCGAGTCAACAGCTGGCAGCTTGCCTGTGCGTGTAAATGAGTGTGCGTTCATCAGTCTTCTTGTGTACACTGTGTATGGGCTGCTGCCCCATCACAGAATCTCTGCACGATTGAATGTGACACCACTTGATGATGAAGAGAGCTTGGCGCTTTCAAACGGTATGTTGTTATGACAGCTCTCACCTTTCACTCCAATCTGGGCTATTCATTTTGTTCCTGCCACTTAGCCTTATTCAGTTGAATCCATCTTTTATTTTTCTTCCATCTATGTTGATTTACTTGCAGAGAAGACAAAAGCCAAAACCAAATCTCCTTAGACCTCAAGCAGGACAAAGGAAATGAGCTCAAGAGACTGATGATATGTTTCCTTATAGGAGATTTAGTGGCACAGCTGGGTGAATGAAGCGAACAGTAAAGAGGGTGTGCTCAGAAAGGCCCTTATACTAGGAGAGGTGAAGTCCGTTTTGTTTTGCCAAGTTTCCAATAAAAATTAAAAGATTCTACCTGCAATTCTGGCGTGTGTTTTTGTTCCCTGGCAAACAATAAAGTGGAAGGGAGTGCCAGGCTAAGAATGAAAGGGTGATTTCTCTGGGATACGGGAACTGGGACTGGCTGATTCAAATGATTCATATTAAGTTTTTTAATAGTCATGCCACTTTTAATGGGCTGGCAGCTCAACATGACCATGGAGGCTGAAAACTACATGGCAATGCTTTGCCATGATTTTAACACTGCCGCTCCAAGCATTAACTATCAGTGCTAAGGGCTCTGGCAGGTCAACAGGAAGTGAGAGTCTCATTGAAAATTCTTGGCCAGGAGCACTAAAACAATCAGGGGGTAAAGAGTATTCTTTTTCCCACGTGGAGCAGTTCATTAATGGTAGATACGGAGTGGCATTTTTTGGTTATTCTCACACTAAGTATCTCAAGCACCTCCTGGTCAGTTGTTGCAGCTGGGCATTAAAGCTTCGAGCTTACGCTTGTCTTCATTGTCAAAATAAATCTCTCAAAAAGTCTCAACCTAAATTTCCAAAGAAAGAAAATCAGATGGGATCTAATCGAACCGCTGGTGAAGATTCTCAGTCATCCAGAACATGGTAAATTCAAAGAAGTTCAAGACAAAAAACAACTGGACTTTATTTGTGACAGAAGACGCTTCGCTTCTCATCCGAGAAGCTTTCTCGGTTCAAAGAACAGCGAGTGTGAGGCTCGAGTTATAAAGCTGAGTTAAGATTAAGCCTGTCACGATAACAAATTTTGTTGGGCTAATTGTCTCAGAAATTATTGCGATAAACAATAATATTGTTTGAAATTTGACAATAATTAGTAATTATTGTCAAATTTAAGAATAAATGTTTTCCATTTTATTTTGTTTTGCGTGTAGTGCCTTTTTTTGACCACCAGATGGCAGTATAAGACTGAACCGAATGATGGATAGTGAGAGAGTGAGCAGCGCGTCTCTAAGAAAAATGGGAGGAAGGCGGTTTGGAGCTTTGACAAGACAGAGCCCCCCCCCCCCCCCCCAGGTCGGCCTGTTAGCTTAGCTTCTCAGCTTAGCCACTTTTTAACAATCCAAAAACACGATTTTAGATGGTTAAAACAGATTCTAAAGCGAAAAGAGAAAGGAAAGGGCGGGTCAGTGAAGAGAACTGGAGTTGAACCTTTTTGTCATCCAGTGTCTTCAGTTGAAAGAGAGACACGAAAAAAACGATAGCCGATAAATGAAAATGAGGTCAATAATTTTCATTCATCATGCGATTAATTGATTTATTGTTTATTGCGACAGGCCTAGGTAAGATAATTACATAAGCAGATTGACCTTTCACACCTCACAGTAGGGGTTTGTTAACGTCATTGTTAATCTAATTCACAGATGGGCCCCTCTGGTCACATGGATGACATTCCTGGTAGGTGTGAAACTGGCTGGGTATCAGTCCTAAAGCGGCATTATGAGTTTTTGAAAGTTGAAATCTGAGACCTCCTCCGTTTAGAGATGGTTTCTCTCTTTTTACATAAATTGCTTCTTTCACCCCCGTCTCAAACCATCTAATCAAATGCTCAGCAAATGTCTCATTTGCATGCAGTGACTTCGTGCACCAGCTGTGCAAAAATCTGACAGTCTGTGAACTTGAAGAGAGGTTATGTTGGCTTAGTGGTTGCATCTGATGGCTTTGTGCAAAAAATAGCAAATACCATGTCCATTTGGATTAAAACCACAATCTGTTGAACAAGAAGATGTCATGTTGACACCCTGTCCTCTGCTTGTGAGTAAATTTTAACACCTCAGTCTAACTTGGCAGACTGGCAGGTCAAACATGTATCTGCCCATCTTTGGGGCCAGCCCTCCTCACTGTCTGCATGCAGGACTGCACAACCTGAGAAGATGTTGGCACAGAGCCGTGAAAACGAACCGACAGCTCCTATAAACACAAGAGTGGAAGATTCATGGCCAATGCAGTCCAGAGCAACAACAGAAGATTGTTGTGACAATGTAACCACAACGTTCATCTCTTGATCACTTTTTTTTATTGTAGCTCTATAGCAACAAAAATCATGTTTCAAAATTGCACAGTGCAAATAAGACAGAACACATGAAGATAAAAACAACTGCAAAAACTTTGGCTTCCCATAAAGACACATTTATTTTACACTGTCTAAATATTGAGGAGAGGTGCGTCATAATAAAGGGATGCCACAGAAAGGAGACGCCACCTCGCCTCAGCTTTTTCCCTTTAATTCTCACGTCAGAATTCCTGCCAGCCTGGATCACAACATAAGCAAAACCCTTCACTGTATTTATAAGTGAGTGGAACCTGCAATTTGTCAGGTGGAAGTCTTTATTTTAAGTCATAAAGGGAAAAGAAATTAGTGAGAAATTTTGAGAAAGCATACCTTTGCGTAGTCTGCACCGTGCTTCTCCTTATAACCATTACGACAAACTGTGTAATTATAGAAGCGGGAATTTTTGATCAGTCCGAGCCACTCGCGCCACCCAGGTGGGATGTAGGTGCCATTGTACTCATTGAGATATTTTCCAAAGAAGCCTGCAGAGGCAAAAAACAATGGTTGCTTTAAATGTCTTTGACCATTTCTGCATTTCCTTAAGTGTATTTCATGATTGTGACATTCTGTTTGTAAGTGAAACTTTTAGCTTTTCAGATAAATTGCACAGGAGTCTAATCTCTAATAATAATAAAAAGACAGATATAATCATAGGCATTGCATCAATTATATATGAAGGGACATGTCCCCCTCACATTTAAAAAAATACTTGTGTTGGACCCCCCACATTACTATGAAATATTAATTCATCCAGAGCCGTTTCTGTTTCTTCATGAACAAATCCATTCCACTTGAACAGTAGGAGAATACTGAAACCACTAAAAGTCCACTCCGGGTTTTCCTGGTACAACTCACCACACCTCATGCAGTCTTTCCCGGAGGTGTCACTTGACGGGGCGGGGGGGAGACACCTCTTTGTTGCGTGCTAGCTTAGCGCCACGTTAGTGCGGGCAGTTGTTGACCGGGGTATGGGAGGGGTAGGATGCGTGAGAGAAGCGGAGTGCTACGTCTGTAGCATCTTAGCTAGCGCATCTGTATTGTGCACCGCTAGCTTAGTGCCACATTAGTGCCGACAGTTGACTAGGGGAAGGTGAGGGAGGGGTGGTGCGGTGGGAGACAACACTGTCCCATGCTCTCATAGTTACTGAATCAAATGTTGACTTATGTAGGTAAACGTAGATGTTTATCAACCCGTTAAAATGCAATAGAATGCAGAAAATGGCATCTACTTTTTGCAAAATTTGCTGGGGGAGGACCCCCAGACACCCCAACAGTGTCCCCCTCACATTACAAATGCTTCTGACGCTAATGGCTATACTGTAAACTGGTGCGTCAGCTTGAAAAACACAGGCCAAGCTGCAGCCCACAGGACCCCCAGTGAGCTGCCCAGCTGAACGCCTGCCCATCCCTCATACACGTTTACATTTCTACAGCAGACAGCTAGGCAAAAATTGTGAAGTATAAAAACATTCAATAATGTGCAAACACTGAGTGGTTAGAAGAAGATTTCAGGAAGTAGGGAGTATCTGGATCCTGAAGCGAGATGAGGGTGAACCACTTTCACCACAAACTGAATTACTTTTCCATAAAAATAATATGAAACAGTTGCAGCTTTCTGCATCAATAAGCATCAGATTCTTTATGCTCATGAGTGCTATAAGACTTTGTGTTTTTGGGGTCTTCACCTACCTGTCCGGTAGCCAGTGTTGTTGAGGTAAACCGCAAAGGAGCGCGGCTCGTGCTGAGCCTGCCAAGATGGGGATGAGCAGTTTTCGTTGTTTGTGTAGGTGTTGTGGTTATGGACGTACTTCCCCGTCAACATGGACGACCTTGATGGGCAGCACATTGGCGTGGTGACAAAAGCATTGATGAAGCTCATGCCGCCATCTTCCATTATTTTACGCGTTTTGTTCATCACTTGCAGAGAACCTGCAAGACATCGTGAGCCGATCAGTGTTCCACATTTAAAGTATTTTTTTTTAACATGCATTGTCAATAACTTCAAATAATTTGTTTTTACCAGCGCACATATAATCAGTATCTATTTTAAACTTAAAACAGTTTTTTTTTTATCTCAACAGGAAAAAAAAAAATAAAAAATACTGGTATATTTTCTTTAATTCTGCATGTCAACACAAGTTTTGTTTGTGTTACTTTGGGCTCATTTCCCAGCTCAATTTTCTAATAGAATAAATAAAATTCACAATTTAAATGAGCAGATGGCCAATTCGTTCCGGCTTATGGCCTTGTATTTAATATTTAATGTAAATCCTGATGCAAACAGCCAAGACAAAACAATTAAACTGATTAGGATGGATGGGAAAAGAGTTTGGAGAAATTACTAATGAAAGAATAAAAAAGCTAAACCGTGTGAGAGTTTCCCAGCATGCCTTACCTAACTCAACGTCTTGGTCATCGGTCATGATGAGGATGATGTTGGGCCGAATGTTTCTACGATCTTTCTGGACGCGACCCCTTAGTCCCTGAGCCCTGGTGGTGGTAAAGGCCCAGCTGCCTGGAGTCCAGTCCAGAGCCAGCAGTGTCACCCAGGACATCCACAGGATCAACATGGTGTCTGGTACAACAAGCCACCGGATGGGTAGATGGGAGGATTATTGGAGAGAGGATAGGTGGGAGCTGAGGATCAACCAGGCCACTCACTCACACCCGAGCAGCTCTCGCAGCCTGTGATGACTGAGAACAAACAGGAAGAGAAACCCATTACATAAAAACATTGACGCTAAAGTAACGTAGCCACTTTTGTGGTAAAAGATTTGAGAACACGGAGAGAATGTGCAGGAATATCTACTTCAGATAAGTGATCCAAAAAACTAAACTTATCCAACTACCTTGACTTGCACTTGTATGATAAACACAAACTACACCAAACAATCCATCAAAAGGAACGACTGAGCTGTGAAGGTCTTAGAGCTCACCTTAGAGGATCCCATGAGTCTCATTTTATGGTGTTTTTCTCTGTTTCTCTGAACTTTCTCTTGTCCTTTCCCCCCCTCTCCTTATCAGAAACTCCCACCAGAGAACTCTTCATCTCGACCACAGTGCTGTTGTTCAGCCAACGGTGCTGAGATTACACCATTGGCTGCTCGCACTCAAACACCCACAGCTCGCTCTTCAGCGGGAGCCAATCGGGGCCCACCTCCCACCTGTCACTCAAAAGTCAGACCCCCACCACCGCCATCATCACCGCCATCATCACCACCATCACCACCATCACCCCTGGTGAGTCAAGCATGACAGAGTTCTGTTGGGGGGGGAGGGAGAAAGGGTTCCACCACATTAACCCCAGTGGCATTGTCCACCAATCACAGATGACCACTGAGTCATCACAACACTTTGGTGCTTCGTTCTTACAAAGTCATGGTTGACCTAAAACTATACACAGACCATGTCTAACGACCTTGAGGTCGAATAACCATCATTATTTAGGATTTAGTCTCAAAAAGGGAATATATACAAAATAATCTCATAAAAGATTGTTTAGTTAGAAAATACATAATTAAAACTGTAAATAAATAAGTTTCAGCAACATTAATACATATGAAAGAATGGCCTGTGGGTGTAAAATGAGCCATGATGCTGTGATAATGAGTACTCCATCACTGCTCGATATGGGCTGCCTTACAGCCTGCAATCCCACTGAGAGGCACCATACTGCTCCCTATTCTGAGTTAATGGTCAGAAAACAAAAGGCAGGTCTGTGACACCTGGGCCAGACCAGGATGGCTCTGCCATTACTCTGATTTCCACAAAGGTCCCAACCAAACCTGGAAAGAGCAGTCACTTTAACAAAAGGTATTCATTTATAGAATAATTTATTATTTCTATTTTATAATCCCACATTTCATTTGCTTGAATAGCCTTTCATTTGGCACAAAGAATAATCTCATTTAACAAAAAATGTTTTTTTTTCCCTAGATGAACAGAAAATTGTTTCAGCGTGAGAAACGTTTCCTACTAAAACATCTCTAAATACAATGCCTTCCAGGAATGTTTTAGTGCAACAAAAAAAGATGTGTATTTGTGCAGACAGGACAAGCCCACATCTACAAATAAAACCCTTGTTCCAAGTGATCTTCAGCATCTCAGCCACCTATCTAATCAGAAACAGGGATTAGAAAGAGAGAAAATCCAAATAACTGAGTCTTGTTGTCTTGAACTTTTTTGTATTTCTCTAGTAAGATGTAAAATATGATAAGCAATGTTTTATTCATTGCTCTCGGGTCTTTTTATTTTGTTTTCAGATATGCAGTGAATGTGCAAGACAGACAGCCTTGTCGCTGTGACAGCCCTGTGCAAACATTGGCGCCATTTGGACAAACACCCCTCTGCTGTGGCGTGGACAGAACCTTCAACGTGCAACACAGACTACCCCGCAAACATGTGGTGCCACGCAGACACTACAATGATAGTCACAAATGGGCCTTCTCCCCTCCACAAAAACAATATCTCACCCCGTGTGGGTTTAAGTCCTCCCACGTGAACGGGAAGGCTTCCCAGAAACAATAAACTCATCCCCAGGAAAAAGTCAAGGCTCTTTTTGGTCAAGCTGTGAAAGACCTGAAATCAGCTGTAAGCCAGTCGGCCCGGGAGCGTAATCTTAGCGCCCAGCACAAATTCAATTTTACATGCCAATGATTTCAAGCAATAGCCTTTTCTTGCCACTCAAAGTAAGTTCATTGTTGTGTCTTGATTCAAACCTTGTGCTGCTTATGTGCTTAACTACAGTGGACTCAATTGATGAACTGTTCAAAATGACTGAGATGGCCATGCTAATTAAATGCCACATGGATCAACCAAAGGCATGAGGCTGGCAGCAGGCAAAGTGACTCTGGCTATTTTTTCCTCCCAACTTAGTTTCTCCTGATCCACTTTCCACACAAAGTCACATGACCAGTATAGCGAAATAAATCATCAATGATATATGAGCAGCTAATATTTGGCTAGTTTTGCAGCTTGCATAATGGAACCTATCATTTTCCAACATCCAAACAATGAGAAGTGATTTGAAGAAAGATTAGGATAATACTGTCACAATGAGGGAGAGGATGCAGAACTAAGGCTGGCAAGCAATGAGCTTACACAAATTTTTAATTATTGCAGAGTAAAACCAAAGGCTCTGCCAAAGAAGGAAGGATAAACAAACACAAGAACAAACCTGGCAGGACTACAAGAAAACGATGACAGCAACAGCTCAAGGGTTTGACTTAAAACAAGGAAAATCCATAATGATGCATACTGAGAGTAAATGATAAATTAAGAACAGCTGGTAGGCAATCAATACTCAGGTGAGAAAAAATAGAAAGAAAGACAAGGGGGTAAGACTTTCAAAATAAAACGGGATGTAAAACAAATGCCGAATTAAATGTAAACCTGAACATCAAGATACAATTTTATAACTTGTGGGTATTAAATTAACTCCTTAACCTCTGCTGCTTCTCGAGATTAACTGCAAATGATTAAACGAACCATATTTGTGTGTGTTCAAACACATTCAGTGTTGGTCCGGAAAGATTCAAGCACCCTAAGGGATGGCAAGTAGCAACAGAGGAACCCAATCTATCCCGGCTTCGCACACACTTCAGTGTGTTCAGTACCAACAGGCACTTCAGTTGCTGCAGACTCAAAACATTAGCGAATACTGGAAAATCTGAGCCCTATTATGTAGCTGGCTTCTGAATCTTTTTATTGCCAGTTTCAAACAATCAATATTCATTTTGAACTTTCCCAAAACCCTTATTAAAGCTCAGAATAATGTTTAATGGGTCATTTATTTAGCTCTTCCAGCATGGAAACAAGTACATTACTATACATCTGTGGAACAGACAAGACAAGAGGCCTTTATTCCTGGACAGCACCGTGGACTAGAGAGCACATTGTTTCTACTTCCTCCTTGTTTCAGTGGATTAGCAGTAATGACACTTTAAATGAGGCCCAGACTGTACTCATCTTCTGTAAGTTCCTAGAAGAAACTGGAGGCAGAGAGGGAGGAACGTAAAAAGGGCTAGGGGCAAGCCTGTCGCGATAAATGATGAATGAAAATTATTGATCTCATTTTCATTTACCGGCTTTATCGTTTCTTCAGGTCTCTCTCTTTCTACTGAAGACAAGGCTCAACTCCGGTGCTCTTCACTGACTCCTCCCTTTCTCTTTAAAATCTGTTTTGACTGTCCAAATTCACGTTATTGGATCGTTAAAAGCAGCTAAGCTAAGAAGTTACGAGCTAAGCTAACAGGCCGACCTCGGGGAAATAAACCTCCGTCTTGTCGAGCTCCAGAATTCACGGTTGAAACCCGTGCCTTCATGTAAAAAGTTGTTTTTCTCTGCAAAAAGAATCGGAGAACTTGTTTAATGATTTTTTTTAATTAATAGCTTTGTGTGAAAAATGCTAAAGAGCTCAAATCACCGAGCGTCCGCCATTTCACCATGTCAGCCCATGTCACGTCAAGGTCCCTCCCTCCCATTTGTCTTAAAGAGACACGCTGCTCCTTTGGTTCAAACAGTTTTATACTGTCATCAGGTGGTCAAGAAAGGTACTACACTCCAAACAAATCAACATTTCTTTTAAAATTTGACAATTAACTATTGTTAAATTTCAAACAACATTATCGTTTATCACAATTTCTGAGACAATTAATCGCCCATCAAAATTTGTGATCGTGACAGGCCTAGCTAGGGGTTCAAATGACTGAAACAAAAAGATCACTGGTGTTTTCAGATGCGCAGCTGCCAGATGAATAAAAGATGTGCAATTCTCAGATTTTTGACTATCAACGTTATGACATTTTAGCACACTTCAACACCCTACTAATCTTTACTTTCATATGAGAAATAAAGTTTTTTACATTATTAATGGAAAGTAGTAGAACTCACTCTGCAAGGGAAGCATTGTGCATTAATTTGGTATGCTTATGCAAACAGCTGTGCTTGTTGCGCCGAGAAAAGATGAACATAATACAGAGCTGCTGGTTGTATAACCATGCAGGGCAGCAATCCTTGGCAGGCTGGCAGCTCTGCCCTCTAGTTAGGGCCTCAAACCACACACTCTGCTGTGCCCTGACCCTCTTCCAACCCCGGTGGTGATATGGCTTTGAAGGTGGCTTGTTTAACCTAACCCAAGTAACCAAAGGCTAGCCACAAACCGGGGTTGAAAGGGGAAATGTGTGAAAGAAAAGGAAAAAATAACCTGAAAGGAGTCCTATAAAGTCTTGTGAAAGTCTGGCTGCGATCGGTCAGTATTTTCATGTCAGAGATGTCAAACACGCTACATCTGGCTCAGTTTGTGTGCAGTCAGCAGTGACAGGCTGTACATTTATCAGCTGTCATTGAAAAACAGCAGAAAAAACATAAAAGAGTTCTCACGTAAAGTCACAGATTACTCCCACGAAGGCTTTAAAGCGGCATGTTTGACCAACGTCTGCCCACAGAACAGGATGCTGCTCAAGTTAATACGTATTTTGAAGCTAAGAAAGTTCATGCTCTCAAAACAAAATGCAGGTCAAACCCAAACCAGATGCTCCTCTAAAGTAAATCAGTCATTTTTAAAAGGACTTTGCTTTTACGCTCAATAGGTATTTTAAATCACCCTAAATCCCCACTTAC